AGTGGTGAGAGTGAACTCTAGCCCCATAAACACACTGCCCCCACACACACACACCATACACATTCACACACTGCCCCCATACACACCATACACACATTGCCTCACACACACACATACACTGCCCACCCATATACACACAGACCCCCATACACAGCCCCCCATACTAACATTGCCACACACATACACTGCCCACACACCTACACATTCACACACTACACCCCCACACACACACTGAACCTTTCACACACATTGCACCACTGCTCCTATTCCCTACTACAGTCCCACATCCCAGCAGACCCCAGGTAAGTTGTCAAACTGTTCTTAAATGGTTTGACTACTTACTCTGGAGCAGTAGTGGTTATTGTGCATGGATTATTTCTTTAAATAATCTACAAGTGCCCCAGTAGCCAGCCAGCCAACCCACAGGCTGGCCAGTAGCCAGCCAGCAGCCAGCCCACAGGCCAGTAGCCAGCCCACAGGCCTACAGCAAGCCACAGGCTTACAGCCAGCAAGCCACAGCCTGCCAGCTGCAGCCTGCCAGCCGCAGTCAGCAAGCCCACAGCCTGCCGGCAGTAGCCAGCAAGCCCACAGCCTGCCAGCCGCAGCCAGCAAGCCCACAGACTGCCAGCCAGCAACAGTAATTAAGGTAAGAGGAGCCAACTTGGCTTAGGTATCAGCGAGCTATGTTGTGTTGCTATATTGTGAATAGGAACCAGAGTGTTGGAGAGACCACCCTCCAGGCCCCATTAGACTCTAGCCTCTGCTAGAAATCCCCTTCATGGCCCATTAGCCCTCAATTGTAGTTTCTACTGGGGCCTGGAGGCGACTGTTTCCAGCAGGGGATATCTAATGGACACTGAGATGGCCTCTGTTAGAAAGACCCCCTTCCAAGCCTTTTAGACTCCATTGTAGTCTCTAATGGGGCTTGGAGGGGATTCTATCTAACACACTCTCTAAAGGACACTGAGATAGCCTCCGCTAGAAAGACCCCCCTCCATGGCCCATTAGCCCTCAATTGTAGTCTCTACTGGGGCCTCGAAGGGCTTATTGCCCTTTTGTTCCTTGTGTCTAAAGATTGTGTAGGGTGTGGCTGGAGGTGGTGCATGGAGGCGGGACAAGGGTGGCGCTTGCTGCAGAGTATGGGTGGGGCCTGTAAGGGGGCCCTTGATTTATTTTGCCCGGGGGCCCTGAGGGTTCTCAGTCCGCCCCTGCTCTCAGGCGATGTTTTTCTAAACTAAAGAGGTTTAAATTTGTTAAAGTGCAAAGCAAAGCATCATGGGATACGTGTCATTCTATAATAGCTTTTTACCCCAGTAATAGAATATCCATTCAGTGTTCTCAATGCCAACTTATTGATCACCCCTTATTCCTTGATGATGATTCTTCTTCACCCCCTTTTACCTTTACCCATCACTCACCTCCCCGATTGACATACAGCTCCTTTCTATTCTTTTCTCCCTTTAGAGCCTTGTTAAGGAGTTGCACCCCCTCTTGGTAGAATCCTTTCTTGTAACAGTGCACAGCAAAGTCATTGTAGGTAAGGAGGAGCTGGTACTCAGCCTGTGAGTGTAACTCCATTGCTCGGTCAGTCTCTTCATCGTCTGCATTGCACAGCTGCATCGCCAGCACAAAGTCATCCACAGCGGCACTGTAATCTTTCAGCCCCTTGTGCACTGTGCCCCTGCCAGGGAGAATGACATACTTATAAACCATCATGGCCTTTGGTAATGTAAGAACACCAGCAACCAATAACCCTCATCCTAAGCACCCCAACCCCAGGGCATTGCATTTTAAGGTATTCATTTTTAGTGGATGCCAATGTCACTGGGTATAAGGTGAGAATTAGTAGGGACTATGTTAGATTTGGCAATTTAGCAAATATTCTCTTTTTCAGAAGAAGTTTATGGAATGTACCCCAATGCACATTTATTTTAAGGGCATGAATGTTTTCCTAGGACTGGTAGTATCCCTGGCATGGTACCAGGGGAGGTTGCACTATTATTGTCAAGTGTCTTGACACCACAATGGTATAACACTGATAATGGTGGGCACTTATGTTTGGCTGACATGCAAACTGGCACACACGCCCCCCGCTCTATTAACCCACACTCCAACACATATGGTATATTGAAATAAGGAGACAGATGCTCCATAATGGGGGCTCATGGAAACATTCACATTAAATAAACTCGCAGCATGGGTGGGAAAAGAAGCAGGCGGCAAGCCTTGAACCTGCTCACTTGGATTACTAAAACCTCATATCGCCACCCATTTGTGAGAGAATAGGAGGGGATTCTGCCAGCGCCCCCTGGTGGTTAGAGAGTCCAGGCACACTCCACTTTTTTATTTATATATTTTAATTGCTACAAAATATGTATGAAACCGGAGAGGGTCAAGAGATTATATGAATGGATAAATAGTGTATATTACATGGACATACGCGTGGTCACCTAGCAGCTGAGACTTGGATTTTCCTCCTATAAAGAATAGCCAAGCCAGATAATTTCCAAACAGGAAAGCAGCCTCATCTGGTGTCAATGAGAAAATATAATAAAAGTCCTAAGAGCAAATGACGGCAGGGACAAGACAAACTGATATTATTTGTCCTGTGTCACCAATTTTGCTCAAAATACTTAGACACCAATTAAAGCTGCTTTTTGGCATTTGTGGAAGGTATTTGTCTTTCCTATAATTAATGCTTTAACTGCAGCATGCCTATTTATTGACTTTGAGAGATATTTGGGGATTAATTCTGGAGCTATTAGGCCCATGATCATTGTTAATTCAGGCCATTCGGGACAGATTCAGATCAATTTGTCGGGTGTTCCATTCAGTGCTCATTCAGTGGTTGGCAAGCACAATATGAATAAATAGTATATTTTATTAATTTCATCTAAATCTGAGCCTCTGAATTGCCCAGAACACTTCTGGATGAATTTGCTGCAGATTTTAACATTAGTTAATAACATGTATTCATTTGAAAATATGTCAGCAAGGAACGATCTTATATAAACAGAGATCCAACTTTAATTTAAAGATTTTACCTGAATATATGGTACTCGGCAGAGGATGGATTATTGTCTATGGCGAAGCAGATGTGGCTTAGTGCCTCTTGAAACTGGCCTTGGACTGCATAGTTCACTGCTTTTGCCTTTCCCTTTTCTGCGTTTGCCACCAGTTTTTCCTGCAAGGTCCGTGCTTCGTTATGATGAGGATTTAATGAGAGAGCTGTCTGTACATCCTTATAGCTCAGAGTGGTCTGAAGGTCAGTGAAGGATCATGGTTAAAGGTGAACTGGCACTTTCCAGGAGTTTTAATATTAGGTTTACCTATCCCTTACATTTAGGAAATATGTGTTTGTGAGGCCTGAAAAATACAATTAAATATAGAAATTTACACTGCTGTATTTACCTCTACTCTGCAACGGTTTCCAACTATAGTGCCAGGAAAACGAGTATGTTTTCCTGGCACTATAGTGGTCCTTTATTGAAAGAGAAGAAACAGATATGTTTCTGTTTTCCTCCTCATTAGCATGGTCTGCCTTAGTTGTGCCTGGACTGAATTGGATTATACATTTAAAAGAAAACAAAGCATGTGGCAGAGGCTTGCTATTTACTATACTGTTATATATACTGTTGGCATATCACGTAGGCAAGCACACCAACGGAGTCTTTGGTCGCTGACTAGATGAATGGTGCTTTCTGCTGCTGCTGCATTAGGATGGGGAATGCTCGGCAACACTTGCTCAAAACAAGTCTATACTGCATTTGTCGAATGTGTCATTAATTTGTAAATGTGACAATATAAAATATTTCCTCTTCCTTACAGATCGGGAGACAATAGAAATTAATACTACTATATACTGGATATGAAGAATGCAGAATTAAATCTTGCTTACATTTATAACTCGTGATAAACATTTAAAAAACAAAATTGTAACACTTTAGCCAAATACAATATTTTGACACTGAGGGGGTTATTTGCTAACCTAGTGATTTTGTAGATTCGCTAAAGTACAACTTTTAGACTTGAAAGGTACACTGTATTCACCATAACCATTTCTTCTCCTTGAGTTGGTTACAGTGCTATGAGTCCCCTGGCTCTGTCCATCCATTCAGTGTTAAATCATTTTCGATTAACACAAATTAAAGGATCACTATAGGGTCAGGAACACAAACATGTATTCCTGACCCTGTAGTGTTAAAACCACCATCTAGCCCCCCTGGGCCCCTAATGCCTCCATAAATATAGCAAAAATCTTACTGTATTCAAGCCTGAAGCTGTAACTCTGCATGATGTTAGACTCAGAAAAACAAGCAGTCTGCTGACATCATCAGAAGTGGTGGT